ATGCACCACTGAAATCCACACAAATTAGCATCACACCATTGAAATAAAAACATAAGTTATATTAGGATGAACACTTTTAGACAGTCTCATACATCAACTGACAGAGTATATTTGAAAACTGTTCCCCACATTTTAATATAAGAAGAGGCTAGAGAGTCATTTGTCTGAGATGGTATAAGTTCTTCTGCTTGAGCGGGGAGGGGGGCTGGACTAGAAGACCTCCAAGGTCCCTTCCTATTCCATTCCATTCCATTCAATTTCATTCCCATTCCATTCCAATATATCCCCAGAAGATAACATCTAGTCTAAGATGCTAGTCAAGATTGCTATTGATTGGATCAAGGCAAACTTGGTCAAGTTTTATTGAAACCAATGTAAAAAAGTCAGAAAATGGCTAAGTCTGTCCGTACACAATAGACTAAAGCTTATGGCTCCCATGTCAGATCTAAAACAGTCAGAGCCCCAAAATGGAATTTTTAAAAATCACCCTCTTCCCCTACAATTCAAAGCTGCCATTTATTACTCTTGCCATTAACTGCTGGTTAAACAGAGAATCTGTGAAAAGTCATTCTTTCTGACCATCTAAATCAGGGGGTCTTCAAACTCGGCCCTTTTGACTCATGGACCAACTCCCAGAATTCCTCAGCCAGCATGCCTGGCTGAGGAATTCTGGGAGTTGAAGTCCATGAGTCATAAAAGGGCCAAGTTTGAAGACCCCTGCTCTAAATGCTCTTGGGCATGCTTAACAAGCAAGATTATATAGACTTACTAAATATCCATCAAGTATTTGGAGGAATAGGTTGATGGTTTGAGTCACATGAGTAAAAGTTTCAACCGTACAATAGACTTGATATTTCATTGATATCACTGGGTGATACGTGTCAGAAATATGGATGAATACAGACCACTTCTGGACCTCTAGCGAATAAGTATAAAATCGATACAAATTAAAAAGGATTTTCTAAATATATTGCCTAACCATGGATTTAAGAACTTTTATAAATGGACTGCCATAGTTCTTGGGCATACAGTATTCCCTAGTATGATTATTTAAAAAGAATTAAAATTTCAGATTAGCACTAGAAGACCACCAAGGTCCCTTCCAGCCATTCCATTTCTGTGCCATGCCTTTGGAAAAAGAGAAAATATTCCACCCCAGCATCATTGTATCAAACGGGGGGGGGGGGGGATTACCCTGCTAAAGTGCTAAGATTTTGGAAATCCCAAGTGAGAGTCAACACTGGAGTAAGAGGAAGTTCTGGAGTAAATGGCAGAGATATCTTGACATCCTGGATCATATTCAGTGCCATCCTGTAGGTAGACTGAAACCTAAAATGAACAAACAATAAATTTCTACAAGGGAATACTTTTCAGACAGTCTTACTTATCATCACTAAAACAGCAGCTTCTTTTTTTAGTCCTCTTTATTATAATAATTACAATTTTAGAGCTTAAAATCAGGTACCTAAAACTGAAATATGCAGCAGCAACCTCTGAGAGACTTAGATTAGAAAGACAACAAACGATCAGGCTAAAAAGGTAAATCCAATTCAACTTTTTAATTTGTTTTATTTAATCTCGCCTATATTATTTTTTTTATAACTGATGGCCGCAAACATACCTAAAACCGCTGCTGCCTATTTTCCCCCACAGCATCAACTCTGCAAGATTAAGTTGGGCTGAGCAAGAATGATTGATCAAAGGCACCCAGGTAACTTTCTTAAAGGGAAACGAGAGCTTTGAAATTTTTTTTTTCAGAGTTGAGCAAAATCAACCCGGACGGAATTTAGATCAGTGTTTCTCAACCTTGACAATTTTAAGGCATGTGGACTTCAACTCCCAGAATTCCACAGCCAGCAATGCTGGCTGTGGAATTCTGGGAGTTGAAGTCCACATGCCTTAAAATTGTCAAGGTTGAGAAACACTGATTTAGATAATCAGCATCGCTGGCTGGCTGGCTCACAAGCTAGAATGCACCGCCTCCAAAACAAGCTAGTTTTGTTCCCACGTTCGCAGAACAAGAGAAAAAAGATGAGCTGCGGACAACCTGGGAACCTCCCCGATGGTTTGGACTCGGATTTCCATCAGCCCTAACCAGCATTTGCCTTTGCGGCAAAGGACCTCGGCAAAGCTGCTGCACCCCCTCCCTTCTTGTGAAATCCTTTCCTCCCTTTCAGTCCTGCCCCCCCCCTCCCAATAAATAAATAAATAAATAAATAAGGCGAGCTGAAAATTCAACAGCGCTTCAAGAAATTAAAATTTATCGCCGCTGCGCCGGCCAATCCCGATGACCTCTTTATCTTTACCAACCAACCAACGAAGGCTCGAGCGAGAAGAGCCCCAGTCTCGGAGTCAACACCTTTTTAATTGGCAAACCGACGATCTGACGTCTCCGGTGGCGCGCGCGGCTGATTGGATGCGGGGCTTGATAGGCGGGGTTTTATGCACTTGGGGTTATTGTGTCCGCGCTGCGTTCGGGAGATCACGCCCATTTTTTTTTTAACTCTTCGCCTTAGCCAATCAACTGGACCAAGGTTCCGCCTCCTTTTTCTTCTTACTATGCGATAGGCCGGAGGTCTGCAAAAAAGCCGCGCCCTCCCTGCTTACTGGAGGGAGATTTAAAGCCGCGTTGAATGCGGACCATGAGGTTTTTGGAGGGGCCAGTCATGGAATTTCCGAATTCTTTGGCGGACTTCTCGACTGCCGTAACTGGCCGGTAGTTGCCTTTAGATTTCGGGTGTTGGGTGGAGCTTTGTTTTAACTTGACGACCATTGCTGGTATCTGCTTTCTCCGGTTTTCTTATCTCTTTTTGAGTTGGTAAAGTAAGCGGGGTGGAGGCTGCTGAGACGGGATGCAATGACTGGCTTCCTAATCGGAGAACATTACAGTTAGTCCTCAACTTACGACCACAACGGAGCCCAAAATTTATGTTGCTAAATGAGAAACTTGTTAAGTGGGTTTTGCCTCATTTTATGACTTTTCTTGCCATGTTTGTTAAGTGAATCACAGCAGTTCTTAAATTAGTAACATGGTGGTTAAGTGAATCTGGTTTCCCCATTGCCTTTGCTTGTCAGACAGTTGAAAAAGGGGATCCTATGACCCTGGGACCCTGCAACTGTCATAAATGTGAGTCAGTTATCAAGCATCCGAATGTAAATCAAGTAACCATGGGGATGCGGCAATGGTCATAAGTGTGAAAAATGGTCATAAGTCACTTTGTTCAGTGCCATTGTAACTTTGAATGGTCACTAAATGAACTGTTGTAAATCAAGGGCTATCTATATACTGTTTCGCTAGACTAAGTGTTTTGAGTTGCATTAGGTGATTGGGAACACTCAACAGAGTTTATCTTTTTTTTTCTATTTTGACTTGTGATCTACTTGGATCAAGGACTATGTGCTGATTTATGAACCTATCAGTCTGTGAATGACTAGAGTGGGTAAACATTTTTGAAAATTAAGTTTAATCCTATATTGCAATGATGTTTTTCCTTATCTGTTGTAATTTGCCTGGGCTGTCTGCTGGAAGAATCGCTGCATTTCAGTGAAGAAAAACTTACTGTAGCCACATCTGTGTTTGAAAGGAACTGATAAGTAACAAAAGCTGGGAAGAGAGGTTGCATTATTAACGTAATAGGAGTCCAAGATGAGGATATTTCTTTGAAGTCTCAAGAAAAGCCCAAATCCTTTGGCTCTTATCTAAAACACAGTTTATGTAGGCAAACAATTAGGAATGACTTATTCTAGGTGTGAGTGGACAACTAATGTTTCTGCAGAATGTTATGATTTCAGTCTTTGATGTCTCAAAAGTGTTTGAAAATTTCTGAAGTTGGATATTGTGTTGAGCTCAATATTTCAAAGTTAGTTACTACTTACATAAGTCTAAAAGGTGGTGCTTTTTTCAAATTGGTGAAAAGTATCTATGAACTAGTCATGTTTTTGAACTTTTATACTGTTTACACTGTAAAGTCAATAAAAAAAGTTAAAATATTTGCTCAAATATTATTGGCTAAAATAACTGTATTAAACTGCTTTCTGATTGATGCTAAAAGATGCTGCAACCAGGTGAGACACTTGGAAATGGGTGGTTTAATTTTCAAGTTTTCAAATATTTGTTAAATAAAGATAACAATGCCTTTGAGAGAAAGGTGGATGTATTCTTTTTCTACTGTTCGACTTTTTTCTGACAGGCAGATCTGATTCTAGGTTCTCTCTCAGGTGGCTGGCACAAAAACGGGCATTTTGCTGCACAGTTTCTGCAATATTTGATTATCTCTGGAATAAGTGATAAGAGCCTCTCCTCAGAAGTTCTCTGTGAAGCTTTTAAGACAGTGATGGCAAACCTTTTAGAGACCGAGTGCCCAAACTTCAACCCAAAACCCACTTATGTATTGCCGGGTGCCGGGTGGGTGTGGCCCGCTGGGTGGGTGTGGCTACAGTGGTCATGGCCAGGTGGGATGGCCAGTGTGGGCATGGCCAGCTTGATGTTGCTCCTGGGGAGGGACGCCTGTGGAGCCGGGCAGGGTTGGGGGAGATCCAGGGGTCTCTGGCGGTGGGCAGGAGGCTGGTTCTGCGGGGTGAGGTGAGGCAGGGTGGGGGTGCCATGTCGCAGGGCAAGGCAAGGCAGGGGCCAGGGCGGCTGCTGCCTGACACCATCGGCCTCCGCACACAAAGGCCAGCAAGCACATGGGTGATGGGATGCATCCGGCCATGTGGGACCTCGGCAAGTTAGCAGGCGGCTGGTTGAAGAGGATGGTTGCCATCTCCGGGGCATGGCGCGCGTGCCCATAGAGAGGGCTCCGAGTGCTGCCTCTGGCACGCGTGCCATAGGTTCGCCACCACTGTTTTAAGAGGTCTTTTTCCAACTGGTAAGAGCTATCCCAATTCTCAGGTTCTCTCCCCCAGTATTCCCAGTTTTTAAATTCAGCAGAGGACCTGTGGAGGGATAGTCTGGGTATTTACAAATGACTTTTCCCCATATAGCTCAGCATCTTAGCAACATGAATGGACAGGACTGGAGCAGGGGTATGAAGGCAATTGTTACTGTATTCCAGAACCTGTAATTACTTTGAGGACAAAGATCTGCTTGCATGATAGACGTTGCATTCTTCTGTGGATCAATTGGAGGAAGCACAGATTGATTCATAATAATTTTTGAACATTCTGTTTTTGTGGTGGCAGAAATGAAGATAATTGTTTTGGATGTATCAGAGTGGAAATGGAAATGGTGTAGAAGGCTTTGCATTTAAATTACAATCTAATAGATCTTGGCCTAAATAGAAGGTGTGGTTCAAAATGAATTGTGGATTTTCATCCAGTAGATAAGCCTCTATTGTTAATAATATTTTTAATTCTTTAATCAGAGTTGCCACATGCAGCAGCAGTGACATTTTTGAGTGATGAACTGCATAACAGATACTTGTACTTTAATATTTAGCTATTTCTAAACAAAATTATTTGTGTTAGTGTTTTTATGCCGCTTCAACTATGCTTTTTTTTTTTAAGGCTATGAGAAGTCTATAGGTAGAATATTTAAGTCCCCCCCCCCACTGTTCATCCACTATATTGAACATGTTTTTCCACTATATTTTGAAGTCAGCCCAGTAAAGATAGGTACACATAGTTCACTGGATTATGTTGTAAATTAGATTTACTGTGTTAAATAGAAAGCCTAAGTCGACTTGAGTATTCCAAGTGTGTGCCCTATAGACAAAAAAAGTATGGGATAACAAAAGATATAATACAGGTAGTCCTCGACTTATGACCACAATTGAACCCAAAATCTCCATTGCTGAAGACAGCTATTAAATGAGTTTTGTCCATGTGAATCTGGATTCCCTGTTGACTTTGCTTGTCAGAAGCTCACAAAAGGTGAGCTTCTGTCACATGACCCTGGGACATTGCAACTGTCATAAATACATGTCTGTTGCCAAACATCCGAATTTTGATCACATGACCACAGGGATGCTGCAACAGTCATAAGTGTGAAAACTGGTCAAAATTCACTTTTTTCAGTGCGGTTGTAACTTTGAAGGGTCATTAAATAAACTGTTGTAAGTCGAGAACTATCTATATATTGAAATCTGTTCTTGAGAGAGCCACCACTTTGTGTAGAACCTGCTTTCTTTCCTTCCTCAAGCAGGTGTGTAGCTGCAGATATCTTTCTTGAATCTGCTAAGCTTTCTTTCCTAAGGACTACTTTTCAAAAAATACTTTAATGAAAAGGAACTGGAGGCTGGTATGCAGCAAAGATTCAGTCCCTGAATCCAACATTAGTTATAAGAATGCATCTAGGCTTGATATGTAGTCGTGGAGGCTAAAAAGATAAATAAATGCAGCCCAGTGCTTTATTTGGGAGTGCATTCGTGTCTCCCAGAAGAAGATGAAGATAAGTTGTGGAGGGGGCTAAAGAGCAGATGAAGAACAACCTCACAAATTTGCACTTTAGTAAATGTATTATTTTTTTTACTGGCCATGAATCTCACAGATGCCATTTCATAATGGTTATCAATACTGTATGTTCAGAATTCCTACCAATGTCTTGAAAATGAGACCTGATTTTAAATGATCTGAAATTAGAAAACATTTAATTCCAATGATTAGTGCTTGCTGTCGATAGTTTAAAAAAAAAACCTTGATGCTTCAGTTCTTTTTCCAGGGAAAAAGATTACACATTGAGAGAGCTCTTACCATGAAATTCTTTATCTCTAATCGGTAAAAATAATTTAGTTACATTTTTATCAGATTCTGTAAAAGTCTCACTTCTTTTACTCTGGGACTATTTGCAAAATAGTGGCTTCACAGTTGGAAAGTTAAGATACAAATATATTGTGTCTTTAATATATTCTCCAAGTTCAGTAATCAAACCTTTCATTTTCTTCAAATAGGTCATCATTTCATGTTTTCTCACCTGGAGTGAAGATGGTGAGTGTGGGGGTAGGTACAAGGTCAGATTGGGTAAGAAACTCCAGTCCGGGATCTGGGTAAGTTTCATAATAGGTATTTCTATAGTGTATTATGTTATTGATATGCTTCTGTCCCTAGCATTTTTCTTTCCATTTGTAGAACTTATATAGAGACAGATGAGGCTGTCTTGCGAAGAAGGCAAAAGCAGATAGATTATGGGAAAAATACCATTGGTTACCAGCACTTTGTCCAACAAGTTCCCAGGTAAGCAGTAACTTTCTCTCTTGGTTTTTATTAGACCTCTACATAGCAGTAGTTTGGGTGGGCTCCTACTATGGTCATCACTAGCAGTTCCTTTCAAAGTCCTAGTATTTGGTCTGTTCATTTTAGAATCCGGTCTTGAGGTAAAGACCCTTGAAAGATTTGCTTTAACAGTTCTCTCTGTGCTCCTTCTTTGGGAGGCCTTGTGGTGCCTTTTAATTTCTCACGCTTCATTCCAGGATGGCTCGCCAATCAGGTATTCATCCCTGTACCCCAAATAAATATAAGAAGTACAGTCGTCGCTCATGGGACATGCAGATTAAGCTTTGGCGAAGGGCACTTCATGGTTGGGATCCACCTGGACATGAGAGGGAAGTATTTCTGATAATAAAAATGCTGCCCAACTCTCAACAAGTCTGAGTGACTCACAATAATCAAATAAAACAAATAAACAACAAAAACAAAAATTACAATTAAAGCAATTAAAGCTAAAAGATGGCAAATGCAATGAAGCAAGCAGTGTTACTCCCCTTCACCAAAGGCCTGGGTGAAAAGTTCTTCAGGCTCTTCTAAACAACACCAGAGTGGGGGCCTTCCTGTTCTTGGGAACTATAGTTGGTGAAGCAGATGCTATGGGAGGCAGGCAGTCCATCAAGTAACCACCTCTATGCCTTTTAAGTACATGTAACAACCAGCACCTTGAATGAAACCCAGATGCAAACTGGCAACTAGTGCAGCTTGCAAAGCAGAGATGTTATATGGGCATATGGAGGCATGCTTCATTCTAGACCAGAGGTCTCCAACCTTTCCGTGCTCATGGCCTGGAGGGAAGGAGAGCAGCTCTCAAATTGGTGCATGCACGTGAACAGGGCCACGCACACTGGTGCGGCACTAGCGGCCCCATTAGCACATGCAGCATGCACTGGCACTGTGAGCATGCGTGAATGGCTGTGCACCCCCCATAGCGACTAGCAGCGCCATCCGCGCATGCACAAACAGGCTGTGCAACCCGCTCGGGGCTATCGTCCCCGTTCGTGCATGTGCAAACGGGCTGCACACACCAGCCTGGCGCTAGCGGTCCTGTTCGTACATGCGTGTATGTGCCACGTACACCCACCTGGTGCTAGCAGCCCTGTTTACGCATGTGCAAGGGCCCAAATGGGGCTGCAGGCACTAGTGCGAGGGGAATGCGCGCCCATACGTGCGTGCATCGGCCAGCCATTTCAGCGGCCTGCTGGCCAAGAGCCTGCAGCCTGGTCCCAGGCCGCGAACCATAGGTTGGGGACCCCTGTTCTAAACCAATTGGAGTTTTTGGGTGGTTTTCAAGGGCAGTCTCATATAGAGCATGTTGCAGAAGTCAAATCACAAGGTGACATGAGTATAAATGGCTGAAGGGCCTCCCAATCTAGGAAACAGTATAAGGGGAACACCAGATGGAGTTCTGCAAAAAATCTTTCTGGCCACAGCTAACACTTGTTCATCAAGTAGGAGATCTGAGTCCAGAAAGACCCTCAGATTTCTAGTTTCGCTTATTTGATTCGAGCAGAAAAATTTAAAAGTAAATTAAGACACACCCAACCATATAGTTCTCTGGTCAGATATTTTGCTATCAGAAACTTACTAATAAAATTCATCATTTGGCAGGTTTACTTTTAATCATAATTCTGTATTGTAGATAGCCACTGTTATTGTGCAATATTTACTATCAGCAGCCTGGTGACCCACTTATAAAGTAACGCTCCCATACTATTCAGGAATTGCAGGCCTAGTCTCCAGTCTATATGCACTCTCCTTGGTATTCCTTATCACCATGGAGACAGAGTTAATTGTCAACAGAGTTGTCATGCTCTTCAGTGAGAGTAAATGGTTTTGGTGCCCACCAGAGGCTGGGAGTATTTTGCACTATGTTAAGGTGGAAAATGAGAAGGGTCACATATATAAGGAAAGAAGGAAGAAGTGAGTAAAACACCATTTTATATTTTCATTCCTTTAATTTCCATGCGTTGCCTATATATTGCCTACCATTCTGTGGCAGAAGGTGGAAGCGTTTTTAGGCTGACGTATTCAACTACTTCTGTTCCATTTTTCCAAAGGGTTTTATTATTACATTCTAAGATAGGAGTATGGAACATTTTGTGGGTTGAAGATTGAATTCCCTAAAAATGTTTTGAAGAGTCACATGGCAATTGGCAGGGCCACAATCCAAAGTGATTGGGTCACCTTCTTTTCTCTCTGGGCTCTAAATGAATTGTCAGCCAAAACTAGACTGCTCTTTCTGGAGGTCTAAACCGACTGTTAAGATAGACAACTGCAGATTGCTTTTTCCCAATTTAGGCACTAAAGTTATTTAATGCATTTGCTGCCTGGCTTAGTATAATCAGTCTGTTCTGTTTTGCAAGGCAGGAGCTGGTGACCAAAATGGATCTTTTGTCTAATCTCCCAAACGACTGGTTTGATGCTCAGTGTATTCAGGAAAATATTTGTAAAGAAGTCCTAGGAGAACAGGTATTAGGATTTTGTTTAATTATATTCTATATGGCCTTATTTTGGAATAGTTAAATAACAAAAGGATTTGACAATGTGTGAACAATATCATAACCTGTATTTAATGCTAAGCAGAGTTGAGCATTCTATATCTTTATGTGACATAAGATTCTAAGTATCGGCTTAGTGTTATGGACATACACAAAACCTTTCTTTTTTAAAATGATATCTTTGGATCAGTCACTAACTTAGACTACTTATTTCATGTTATTTTTATGCTCCCATAGATTTCTGGATTGTCATCTTCTGGCCATTTTTATCCGCTGCTTCAGGATACTCCCTCCAACAGGGAATATTTCAAGGAAGACGTTGAAGACTGTCCATTTGACTCCTGGCTCTTATTTTGTTCTCATAGGATCCCGGCACAGTCTAAAGATCTAAAGGAGAACAATTAGAGCTAATTTCAAGGAGGTTTTTTGCCACTGTGGCCCACTTGTATTGTCACTCAGTTTGCTACAAAATCCATAATTTTGTTAACAAGATGATCTTCCATTTCTATATTTGATAGTGTTCTATATAGAGTAATCATTATTTGGCTAGAACACAAAGCATTTCCTGTTGTCTCTCCATATTTCTATTATAAGTGTACATTATAAAGCAATTGATGACTGCTATTAAACTAAAGCATTGTGGCTTGTTGGTTGCAGTAAGGAAATTGAGAATCAAAGTTCTGAAATATGTACAGGTAACTAAATTGCTCTGAGCTCATGTTCTATCACTAGATTTGTTATTGGTTAATTCCAGTCTGTTTCACATATGCACTGTGATTGGATAAAATAATATGTTTTGTATTTGATTCTTAATTGGCATCATTTATTTGCTTGAATGTGAATGTTACACTTGTATGATGAAGCATCTTGCATCTTGGGTAAAAATACTTTTGTTAAATCTGAATAAGTGTGCCCTATGTAGGAATATTCAGACAGCTTGTCTTCCAGAAATTCTGTAACAGCAACAGACAGCAACAAGCAACAGAATCATTGGAATATCTTTGCCTGAGCATAAACTATTGAATTTCATTTGGTTATTTAAAATGGCTTTAAGGAAAAAAATAAGGCACAGATTGTAGGACTGGTTCACACAATGTATTGAGCAGAATCTCTCTTATTTTTTAATGAACTAAAGTGATCTGGTGTATGCAAGTTAAAGCATAATGAGTGGGTTCACATAACACTGACCAAAATCACATTTTTACATTAGCAGTGAATACAGATACTTTGTCAATCTTTAGACATGATGACAGTGTTAAGTTGTAATTCTAGGACTATATTCATATGATACACAGAACTAGAAATTAGCTCACCACATTTTAGCTTTGTAGATCTGCAAACTCAGCCCATGTGTTTAGTAGGTGGGTAGTAGAGCACATTGATTGGGTTATGTTAACCATAAGTAAGCATGTGCTAATACAAGTTATGTACTCTTCTGAAAGTAAATCATATTTGCTTTACTGAAACTTAACAAATGTTGGAGTACTGTACACTGTAATTATTCATTACACTCCTACAATCTGTCATACTTTATTCCAATTAAGGTAATAGTTGTTTATTTATGCTTTCTATAAGTAGGTTTAGAGATACTTTTTTTTTAATTAATGGAAGGGTCAACATTCAAGAGTAATAGTCTCAGCTGGTTGTTGTGCAATTTCAGATAGGAATTAGATGTCAGGTAGAAAACAAAGTACTCTTGACATGCTCATAAGTGCTATATTTCAGATATAATGTTTAGCACAAAATCTGAATTCGGAAATATGCATTTAATAAAAATGAGCAATCTCAGATTTTCAACCGTGCCTATGGCTCGCAAGAAATCCGAAGAACGAATTGCAGCCCCGTCAAAGCTTGTCCATCCTTGTAAAAAAAAAAAAAGAAGAAAAGAAAATCAACACATTGTACTACGTATCCCATCATACTTTGCTGCGTGGAACGGTCCATGAGGGGGGTTTACTTGTGGGGCCAAGAGACTGCCTCGTGAAAGATGAAATATTTTCGTAACCGGAGGGAGGCCTTACGCTAGCTCCGGACGGATGCGTGAGTCTGTTTTCTGAAACGGCCTTCTCCATTGCCCCTGAGAGATTTTACCCTCCCTCCCGCTGTTGCGTGGTTGGTTCGGCCCAAGCAAGTCGATCCACTCCCGACGGAAAGGGGAGCGGAGGCTCCTGGCGGGGGGCTGGGAGCCCGGGCCGCCGGGTGGGGGCGGCAGCTGGAAGACGGAGGGCCGGCCGGCAGCGGGTGCTAGTGCTTGAGAGTCCAGGAGGCTATCTCCCTTCAGTAGATGGTTGGTTCCAGTGGTGTTTAGCATAGGGAGTGGGGGGCGCGTGAGACTATTGGGGCGCACTACTTCTCTGGCTGAGCCGCCTCGAGGTGTTGGAGCTGCCGCCCCCTGTAGCAGGCGGGGGAGGGATCGGGTGTTCGGTACGTGTCGAAGGGGCTGCAGAGCCTGAGTGGGTAATGCAAGGGTGGGGGGGGGGGGGGGGGGGGGGGGGGGGGGGGGGGGGGGGGGGGGGGGGGGGGGGGGGGGGGGGGGGGGGGGGGGGGGGGGGGGGGGGGGGGGGGGGGGGGGGGGGGGGGGGGGGGGGGGGGGGGGGGGGGGGGGGGGGGGG